GATTCAAAGCACAATGATTTTTCTGAATTCTTGATTGTGTTTTTCTCAAAGCCTTCCTAGATTGCATGATCCTGCACCAACTCCCGGCTCCTAGCCTCCTGGATTTCATGCTATACCAATTCTCGACTCTTGATTTTATCTATCTCCTATGGATCCAAGAGAACTCATTCTCTCATGATCGAAACCCCGATCTCCTTCCTTGATCTACAATAATCAACAAATACTCTAGAGGATTGTGTTGTATTGTTTGATGGAGGTGAGTTTGATGTTTTTCAGTGATTGCGCCAGTTGAATGTAGAATTGAATGAATGAGTCAAGGTGTAAAGAATTTTTCTTAAATGTTCAATCCTTAAGAGAACATCTGAAAATCGGCGCAACATAATTTATATGAAGTGTACTGGGTCATTTTAGGTCGGGTCAAAATCTCAAAAAAGGTAAGTAGGGTTTTCTAGGTAACACTATCGCTCGAGCGAAAAGCGGGAGATGCTGTTTCGCTCAAGCGAAGTGGGGACGAGAAGTGAGCGAAGTACTTTCTGCATTTGATGCTCAAGCGACCACTTGGCGAGCAGAATTGCCGACACAAAATCTAACGGAGTTAAAACTCATGTCTAAACTATAGCATTATTTTGCAAGAAAATAAAAAATAGTATTAATTACAACAATGTTATCAATCTTAACTTTTGTTTCCGGCCTAAGATTGAAAGATAAGAGTGAGAATAGATATAACACAATTATAATGTATAACTAGACAAGAGAATTTAAAATCTTGGAGGTATTGCCTGGTCTTCTTTTAAGCTACTCCTATAATTGCTAATAATATTCTTAGTAACATTCTATCTTCTTTGCCCAATAGACTAATATATTGACTTAATGTCAATTCATTAGATATGTAAAATTAAACAACATAGAATTTTTTTAAAAAAATCCATAATTTATTTATTCTATTTATTACTTTTAATAAATGCTATCTTTTCAGACTCTGTTTAAAAAAAAAAAAAGAAAAAAGAAAAGAAAGTATTCTAATGATCACAAAGGAAATTCTTTGTTGTAAAGTGAACAAGCATGGCAAAACACGCATGTCATAACAAGTGTAATACACTATACATGCAATTTTATCCTTTAATAAATTACAAAGGCTAACTGTTACATATTCAACATAAAAAAGAAGAAAATTGGGAATTGGTATGTTTTATTTATGAATAATAAAAATATAAATTATAAGGTAACACAAGCATGCTAAAAGAAATATTCACAAACACGTCATGATAGGCTATGCCAGAGAAATGTAAAACAAACCTCATAATAAGGATTGATCACTTAAATGTTTTGAAAGCAATAAAGAATGTAAAAGAAAAAATCCACAAGGAGAATAACATCCAAAAACGTAAACTAAAACAAAAAGGGAATTAAATATATAGTGTAGCCCAAACCTTCCCTAAAATTTACAATAAAACTCGAATAACTTGTTGAGTACTAACAGTACAACTACGTGATTTGTATTCAAATGATTGTATCTATTTAATTTAGTCTAGCATTTGGTGGTTTCAACTTTGTGTTCAGTCATTTCATAAAATTAATTATGGAGTGCCTATTGAAGCAATACAAGTTACATGGCGGTAAAATGACCCATAAAATTGAAAAATAGGTGAAAAATAATTACCTCATGTACCTGTTTTGTTCAAAAGATTAAATAAATATTTTGAAGAGCTTTTACCTAAACATCTTATAGATCAGTTACATTATTAATTAGTTTAATTTGATAAAACCCAATTTTCACATTTTTAGATACTAATCTAAGTCGATAAACAATTAAATAATTAATTTTAACGGTCTTTGATAAAAAGTCCACATAAAAAAAAGTTTATGCCAATCGAATACAAATAGTAAAAATTTGATTATTAGAAAAGTAAACCAAAAAATTCAGAGCCAATAGTACTAAAAAGAGTCATCCAACATGACACAATCACACTCTCTCTTAAATTATTTGCATCATTAGATTCATCATGCCAAGAAATTTTATTTTTATCTTGTTTTATTCTTCTTTTAGTCTTTCTAGTTGACTGTATAGTGAGTTCTGCTCTAGTTGTATTATTGAAGCTAAGAAAGCAAATACTTGGGACTTCAAGGAATGAGTTAAGATGTATATTTCAAACCATTTATTGCATCATAAATTACAGCTATAGTAATAATAGTTGCACGTTCTATGATTGATTGACTGACCCGAATTGAGTTGTTAGAACATTACTTGAGATACATATTTTACAATTTTAATTCTTAGAGTTTCTTGTTATAAATAAATCTCAGTTATTGAATACACTAACAAGTATGCTAAAAAAATGTTAGACTCATGGCGAATGTTTCTAATTGAGGTGTGAAGTTAGATCAAGAAAGTTAAAAGGATATGGGTTTTATAATTCAAGTGATACTAACTGTTTTTCTGTTTGTAGTTTTTTTTTTTTTTTTACATCAAACTCTACTCTCCCAAATTATATTGGCTCTTTTATTTTTAATATTTTTAAATGTCAGTGTCTTGTTAAATTTCACTCATATTTGATTGTGCATTAAAGTTACATTTTTATAGGGTAAATAAATAAATAAACATTCAATAATATAATTACGAGTATAGCTAAGTAATTGTTTAATAAAACCATGCAATCGTTCCTCGATTATTGTGCATGGAGCTTCAAACATAGGTTAGGTTGACAAAAAATAGCACTGGAAAAGCAGCCTAACATTCTAGGTTAGGCTCATTGCATATGTTTCCATTTGTTAGGTAGTGAAAAAAGAGAGCGTTAAATTCTAATATGGATAGTTGCATTTAAAAGGAGAAAGGCCAGATTCACTTCGAGAAAGAACTCGATGAAGACTCGACGTAAATCATGGAAATCTACTGTGTAGCAAAGTGATTATCAATTTAAAAGATGATTAATTATTTATATGTTAAATTCTTCAAACTGAAGGATCCTTTGGGTTCTAGAAAAATCAGTAATTAAAGACATTTGTTTTTCTATCGGCGAATTTAATATTTAATTGATAAAATATGTCTTTTTTTATAGAAGCTCAGAAAATTATTTTAACTTATGACTTCAAGAAGCCTGTCTTTGTTTGAATTTCTTTTTCAGTTGTTAAAATTATGAATTGGTATAAATGAGTGGTGCATAAGTGATTACAAGCAAATTCTGGGGACTTCAAGAAATAAGTTAAGATGTTTATTTCCAAGCAATCAGTTGCATCATAAATTACAATGACAGTGAAAATAGTTGCACATGCTATGATTGACTCACTTACTCGAATTGAGTTGTTAGACCACTACTTGAGGTATATATTTTACAATTTTAATTATTGGAACAATAAATAAATAATTCAGTTATTAAATACGTAAATACTAACAAGTATGCTAAAACAATGTTAGGCTCACGGCAAATGTTTCTAATTGAGGTGTGAAGTTAGAACCAAGAAATTTAAAAGAATTCAAGTGATACTAACTATTTTACTGTTCGCGGTTCTTTTTACATCAAATTCTACTCTCTCAAATTATATTGACTCTTTTATTTTAATTACTTTTAAATGTCGGTGTCTTGAGGAATTGCACTCATATTTGATTGTGCTTTAAAGTTACATTTTTATAGAGTAAATAAATAAATAAACATCCTATAATATAATTGCGAGTATAGTTAACTAAATGTTTAATATAACCATGCAATCATTCCTTTATTATTGTGCATGGAGCTTCAATCATAGGTTAGGTTGACAAAAAAGAGTACTGGTAAAGCAGCCTAACATTCTAGGTTAGGCTCATTGCATATGTTTCCATTTGGTTAGGTTGTGAAAAAAAATGTGCGTTAAATTCTAATTTGGATAGTGGCATGAAAAAGGCGAAAGCCGAGATGCACTTTGAGCAAGAACTTGATGTAGACTCGATGTAAATCATGGAAATCTTCTGTGTAACAAAGTGATTATCAATTTAAACAATGATTAATTATTTGTATGTCAAATTCTTCAAAATGAAGGGTTCTTTGGGTTCTAGAAAAATTAGCAATTAACGACATTAGTTTTTCTATTGGCGAATTTAATATTCAATTGATAAAATATGTCTCCTCTTATAGAAGTTCAGAAAATTATTAACTTATGACTTCAAGAAGCCTACTTAGTCTTTGTTTGAATTTCTGTTTCAGTCGTTAAAATTATGAATTGGCATAAATGAGTGGTGCATAAGTGATTACTAGTTGTGGATTGTAAGAAACACATAATTAAAATTAATATTTTCTTTAAAAAGTAACTTATAAGCATGTTTTACACAAAAAAAGGTTTAATGATGGAAGTTAAATATCCCATAAAATTCAGCGACTTAGTGAACTATATTGAGTTTTTATATTGCAATACTATTCACATATCCCATTTGTGTTTATATTGAGTTTTAAATTCAAATCCTAGTGAAATATACCACTTATGTTTATTACAAAATAAGCGTGCATATTGCATGCTGCCTATAAATATCTCAATCAACCATCATTCTTGCGCACAATCTACCTCTTGTGCACACTATTCATAGGCTCTCTCTCGCTCTCTCACTTCAAGCAAACAAGTTATCCTTTCCAGCCTTAAAAACCTAGCCCAACTGCTCACCCTTAAAATCAGAATCAGTTCCAAATTTTACCCAAGAGTGTTCATAATTCCTCTTGAAGTTTGTATTTATGAGGTAAGAAGTCTTTGATTAGGTTATAAACATTTATCTCAGTGTTACTAGCATCGATACAAACATGAACCCGAGTGTTATTAGCATAGATATGTACTTTTAATGAACATGAGACTTATGAATTTCTAACAAACAAGGCACAAAAGTAAGATGAATTCAAACCAGGAAGCATAATCCAGTCGTAGAAAATATGGCCTGAATTAATTGTGAAAAATTATTATTGTTGTTATTCTGTTTGAGAGGTAATTTCTAATCCTTTTGTCGACATTATTTGTATAGAATGATACTGTGAATTCTCTTTTACATGTTGATTTTATTGAGGGTCAAAGCAGTTTTTGTTGATAGGACTTTCCTTCAAAATGCTAAAGCAAAAGGAGCCCGTAAAACATTACACGCCACCATATAGAAAATTAATATTATGTTTCTTATGTATTTCTAATAAGAAATGTTAAACTATATTTTCTTCTTACATGTGTATTTGTAGTTTGTTTAGATGGGTCTTCACTAGTTTACCATCTGGATAGAGGATCTGGGGTGGGAATTAACAATTGGTTGGTTCAAATTGAGGTTATTACTCTTGTCATAAGCTATTGAATACTTTTTTTAACTGTAGAATGCTTATATCAAATTGAAATGTAAATCAGCTATGTCGCCTGGTTAAGAAATTGTAAATGTGTTTGTCTTGGATATTTAGGGAGGAGGATGGTGCAATAGTGTCACTAGTTACCTTGCCCGTAAGAACTCAAAAGAAGGTTCCTCTAATGACATGGCTAAACAACTTAGTTTCACTGGGATTTTGACCAATGAATCACAATTTAATCCCAATATATCTTAATCTTTTGATTGGATTGGATTTTGTTATTTTACTTGGAATTTTAATCTTCTTTAATGTAATCTTTAATTATTATTATTATTATATCATGTAAATATCCAGATTTTCATAACTGGAATAGGATTAAGGTTAGATACTGTGACGGTGCATCATTCACTGGGGATGTAGAAATAGTGGATCCTGTAAGTTATCACAAGAGATACGTTCATAAGATTATTTTCCTCATTTCTTTCTATTCAGCTTTCTCAAAGTAAATATGTATATATAACTTAATGGCATTTTGTGAAACTATGGTGGATGGCTCTCTTGTTGTGATAATTTTTTCAGTCAAATTCGATTATAGGCCACCAAACTTTACTTCATAGGAGCAAGGATTTTTTGGGCTGTCATGGAGGAGATGAAGAATGCTGAAAATGTATGATTTTTTTCTTATGAATATTCATCCACTATTTATTGAATCAATCACTAGTAACTCATAGTATTCTTAGCAGGCCATTTTGTCTGAATGTTCAGCCGGTGGGTTGACATCAATTTTACATTGTGATAATTATAGAGCTCTCATTCCCGAGGACACTAAAGTAAAGTGCATTTCAGATGCTGGTTATTTTATAAATACATAAGCTTTCATACAAGGACTTGTATCTGCATAAGATTTTTTGTCTAGAAGAATTATGTTCACCTATTTTAAGTGAAGATAACATCTTTCATCGTGTATTATAGGAAAACTATTTCTAGAGCATCAAATACCGAGGACTTTTACAAAGGCGTGGTCACAACACATGTATGAATTTTCTTCTATATACAATAGTTTATATGCTTGTTGAGTAGAAGTTTGATCATCTTCTGATTGCATTTTCATCCCTAAATTCAGAAACAGGGAGCGGTGAAGAACTTGCCGTCGTTGTGTACTTCAAACGAAAAACCCGGGTTGGTAAGAGCTTCTTTCTTTACTAGAATAAATGACTTTTGCATTGTGACATAAATTGTCTCGTGCTGATATCACTCAAACTGTTCAGTGTTTTCCTCCCCAAAACATTGTGCAAAAAATCTGAACATCGCTTTTCATTATAAATTCTGCCTGTGATTCATGGCAGGTTAGTTTGTATCTGATCTCACTTACATGAACATTTTTTATTGCTATATATGATCTTATTTCACATCCATGTCAATAATCTGATTATATGCTTTCGATTATATTGACATCCTCAATTTTTTCAGATAAATAACACTTTGGTTCCTCCACTTTCGGATCCAAATAATACGTGGAGCAATTGTATTACTGATATTAGGAATTGCTTCCCTAGTCAGCTCCAAAAAATTCAAGGTACTATAAGTTTTTTATTTAAATATTTCAATTGATGTTTTGCTTTGAATTGAAACGATGTCATTACTAATTAATGCGATTTTCAGACTTCAGGTTGGAATTCATAAATGCATTAACTAGAATGGGTGTCCCTTCATCAAGAGGATACTATATAAATTCTTGTTATACACACTGCCAAACTGAAGGGGAAACATGGTTTGGGACGCGCTCTTCGATTTTAAATAACAAGGTTAATTGTTGTTACCAATTTCAGACATATATATTTTTAATGGTGCTTTCATATTTCCCTTTGTGTGCGAAACGAATCGTCAAATTAAACTTTTCTTTGTGCAGACAATTGCTGAAGCCAATTTCAAGAGATTGACTGTCCTTATCCTTATGACAAAACTTGCCCCAATTAATTTGTCTGAGCACCAATTGAATTTGATGAGATTCACTTCACTTTTTCCAATGAGGTGTGCTCAATGATTGACTTCTTAACTTCCATGTTGAAACGTTTTAACAATTCAAATTAATTAATATTAGTCCATCAGGCATTAGCAAAAGATTTTCTTTTCACTTTGTAAACCATTTATTATTTTACTATTTGTTTATTGTCGGTGTGAATTAGAACACACGTTCTGAAAATTAATGTAATTAAAAAAAGTCACAACGTTCCTACCTATCGGGGGTCCTCGTCATTAATCAGATCATTATCTTTATCCATTAAATTAGAGTCCACTAGCTCCAGTCTAAAATGGCCTATTTAATTGGAACAATTTAACTAATATCTCAATATAAAACCAAAAGACTGAAAAAATATAGCATTGTTAAATTGAAAAAAAAAATTAAATTAAAATCATATTGTGTAGTCAAATTGAAAGTGATTAATTCATTTGCTGCTTCATTGGTGTACAAAGAAAATGTTGTTCATTGCCGTGTCAATTTTTATTTTATACATTCTGCGTTCCAATCTGCGGGTTATCGAATAATCCCCCTTTACTGCTATGAGCTCGTATATGCTGTGCTTGACATAATTGGTAAATTGTAGTAATAGGACTTGATAATATTAGTTTTGGATATTATGTAAACATGAGAGTGGAATTAAAATATTTTTAATACTCAAAGGTTGGGTTGTTTTTGTTTTTAGATAGAATTTCTGATATGCATTATTACTTAGGTGATTTTTGTAAGTTGGAATGATTTTGAATTTGATCTACTACAATCTCAACAAACTATAACTATCCAAAACTCAAACAAAGCCTGTTACAGAATTCAATACGATGAGAACAAATTGGAGCTGTTGCAGATATCCACACAATGAGAATGAATAAGAATTCCAACAAAGCGAACAGATAATGACCATCAATTGGATTTTGAGAGAATTAGGTTTAAGATTGTTGGGTTTTGTTACCCAATAAATCCCAGGCAGTGATATTAATATAAATACAATAAAAATAAAGTACTTTCATCATTTGAACAACTGGATCTAGGTATAGTGTCATCATTATTCTACTTGTACCAGATTCAATTACTTAGTTATCCAGTTAGTTTTCATGACAATCATGTTTGTGTTAAAAATAGTATCGCTACAAGTGACTTTGTGATAAGTTCAAAAATTAGCACAATACAAGCAATCTCATGGATCGACAATTATAAATAGCTGTACTCTACCTTATAGTCCGAGAATGAATATATTTCCCGTAATGGGAGACCTATTGTGGCAATAATCTAAAAGAAAATTGTTACTAATTATCCTTTAAAGAAATAATGCACAACTACATATTGCATAAAAGACTAAAACGTGTGAAATAAAGAAAGAAATTGAATAAAAGTGGCCATGAATTCTTGTCCCTTCGTCATTGTAACATTTTGCATTCCTTTATTAGATTATTAGAATTGAAATCTAAACTCTTAATAACACTTTCACGTGCAATATTAAGAAGTAATGGGTATTTAGATCACATTCCCTGGTACAATAAAATATGGAAATTTATTATGCAACTGATTGCTTGGAAATATTGCTTCTTAGCTTCAATACTACAACCAAACTACGTACTAAACTAGAAAGGCAAAGGAAGAATGGAACAAGATAAAATGAAAATTTCTTGACTGTATGAATTTAACGATGCACATACTTTAAAAGAAAGTATGATTTTGTAAAGTTGCATGATTGTTTAGTATCATTGGCTATAATGCAAAGAGCGATGCTCTCTAACAGTTCAAGGGGATCTTCTCTGAGTCTCTTCAACATTCACCTTTGTTGGGGATTGATTAAAAAACCAAATGAAAAAGAAGGAATATCGAATGCTCGAAATTATACGTAATATAGTACTGCTGCACTTTTTTATGATTGTAGAAAAGAAGATATTATATTGTAAATTTTTGTGACTTCGAAACTTTTAATGGCTTGAGTTACATGGGTAATTATAGATTAGATTTAACATGTATCTAGCCTAACTCATGAACCAACATTAAATAGATACGTTTCTCCTCCTCTAGTACATTAATTGACAAATGCATGTATAATTATAATTCATGAATCTAGATAATAATTGCAAATTACGTTTCCAACACCCTCTCTTAATTTGCAATTTTGAGAATGTCTCTTGCCTTTTGAAATTTCTCGACATAGATCGCCTTGGTTAGAAAGTCTGCGGGTTGCTCATTCGTTTCAATGAATTCCAAGCTGATTTCACCATTACTTACCATATCTCGGATGAAATGATGTCGCAACTCAATGTGTTTTGTTCTCGAATGAAACACCGAATTTTTTGTCATGGCTATCGTAGACATATTGTCACAATAAATTACTGTGGGTTGTTTTTGAACTTGTTTCAAATCTGCTAGTAATCGTCTCAACCAAATAACTTCGCAAGTTGCATCTGTAACAGCAATATACTCAGCTTCCGCGGATGATAACGCTACTGTTTTTTGCTTCTTTGAACTTCATGAAACAACATTAGTTCCGAGACAAAATAAATAACCTGAAGTGCTTTTTCTATCATCCAACGAACCTCCCCAATCACTGTCGCTATATCCAATCAACTTGCTCTCATTTTCTTTTACATATTTGATGCCTATTTTCTTTGTTCCCTGCAAGTATCTCACAACTCTTTTAGTTGCTGCAAAATGAAGTTGACTTGGTTCATTCATGAACCTTGAAATCATGCTCACGGCTTGAACAATATCCGACCTTGTGTTTGTGAGATAAATCAGTGAACCAACAAGACTCCTAAACAGTTTTGCATCTATTTTTTTTGCTCCGTCATATTTTCTCAACTTATCGTTCGCTGCCATAGGAGTTGAAATTGATTTGCAATTCTCCATATGAAATTTCTTCAGAAGATCTTCTGTGTATTTCTCTTGAGAAATAAAGATTTCTCCTTTGGACTGCTTCACTTGTATTCCAAGAAAATACTTCATGACTCCTAAATCAGTCATCTCAAATTCATTCATCATTTTTTGCTTGAAATCCTCGACTAACCTTATATTGGTGCCAGTATAGATAAGATCATCTACGTAGATGCACACAATCAAGAAATCATGATCTTGCTTCTTCACATAGAGAGAGGGCTCATTAGGACTTCAATGAAATCCATTCTTGAGAAAATAGCCATCAATCTTGCTATTCCAAGTTCTTGGAGCTTGCTTCAGTCCGTAAAGTGCTTTCTTGAGGCGATACACTTTATCTTCTTTCCCTTTCACTCCAAATCCTTCAGGTTGTTGTACATAAACTTCTTCTTCAAGCTCTTCATTAAGGAAAGCTGATTTGACATCAAGTTGGAATACCTGAAGCTCCAACTACGCTGCAAGAGCAAGAACAACCCTGATAGTTTCCATTCTAACAACCGGTGAGAACGTCTCATTGAAATCAATTCTCGGTTGTTGAGAATATCCCTTCGCTACAAGCCTAGCCTTGTGTTTTTGTATGCTTCAATCTTCATTATACTTTGTTTTGAAAATCCATTTCAGTCCTATAACATCTTTGTGTTTCGGCATATCCACCAATTCCCAAGTTTTATTTTTTTCTATCATGGCAATCTCCTCTTGCATAGCTTTTCTCCATGTTTCTTCCTTCACTACGACTTCAAAACTTTGAGGTTCACAGGTAAAGAGAGCAAATTCAGATGTCTCAAGAATTTCTCTCAAGGATCGAGTCTTTTTAATCGGTGAATCGGAACTTGAACTTTCATCTCGAACCGGCGATCTTGGTAGGCGAGGATTTGGACTTTGAGGTGGACTAACATGACCGAGTTCATCCTCAAAATTTGATGCATCGTAGAACTCCTCTTGAGATATCAATTTGGACGAATT